CTATCTCTTTCAGTAGGATTTAGGTTCCTGATTTGAAGAATAGCTCTGCAAGAGTCAGGGGTGAAAAATTCTCTCCAGCTCCAGCCATCATCAGAAAGCAACTCTTTAACCCATGTTAGGGAGAATTCAGACACACCATTTATCAAAGAAGGCTTACCAGTGCTCAGACCAGGCACCCAAGGATGGGATAAGATATTAGTATTGAAACCATCTTTGATCTCTCTTCTGAAGCCACTCTTATGCAGATTTAGCACTGTCAACCAGGAGTTCCACAGCCAAGAGGCAGTACTACTTTTCTTAGCATCCAACACACAACCAGCAGGAAAATATTTTTCCTTCAAAACTATAGTCATCAGGGAATTAAGCTTTGTCAAAAGTCTCCACAATTGCTTAAGGATAAGAGCTTCATTGAAGACCCTAACATCTTTAAAGCCCAACCCGCCAGCACTCTTAGGGACAGTAACTTTGTTTCATGCAACCAGTGAATACCCCTCTTCTGTTCATTTCCCCCAGCCCACCAAAAAGTTGCACTAAGCTGAATAATCTCCTTGCAAACACTAACAGGTAAGTAGAAACAAGAGCAAACAAAAATTGGCAAAGCATTTATAACAGCTTTCAAAAGAACCTCTTTACCAGCTGTAGACAAGAACTTATTGCTCTAACCCCTCACTTTCAGCTTAACAGCATCCACCACAAACTGGAAAACTTCCTTCTTTGATCTACCCAGTCCCATGGGTAATCCCAAATATCAAGTAGAATTGCAGACTTCAACCCCATTTAGCACTTGACACACTGCAGCTTTCACCTCATCACAAGCATTTCTGCTGAAAAACACAGATGACTTCAAGAGGTTGACTTTCTGGCCTGTAAAATTTTGATAAGCTGCAAGTATTCTCAATAGAATATTAGCATTCTGAATATACGCACCACAGAAAAGGAGAGCATCATCTGCAAACAGTAAATGAGACAGAGTGGTTCCTCCTCTAGTAATTTTCAGCCCTTGCATCTCAGATATAAGGATAAACATATAAGGGGATATAGGATCCCCTTGTCTGATACCCCTTGATGGAGTCACAAAGCCAGTAACTTTGCCATTGATATTAAAAGAGAACACTGTAGAAGAAATGCAAGCAAAGATCCACTGAACAAAAGAACTATAGAAACCCATCTGTAACATGGTCTTAACCACACAGTTCCACTCCAGTCTATCATAAGCCTTCATCATGTCTAACTTCACTGCCATATAGCTCTGTGCCCCTGTTCTGTGTCTATTTAAAAAATGAATAACCTCATGTGCCACTACTACATTATCAAGGAGTTGCTTGTCTGGGATGAAAGCAGCTTGAGTCTCATGAATATAGAATTTAAGACACTCTTTCAATCTGGCAGCTAAGATCTTAGCCACAATTTTATAAAAGACACAACACAGGCTGATAGGTCTGAAATGATTTAGAGACACAGGATTGTCACATTTTGGGATGAGAGTAATAACTGTGTGGTTCCAGCTAGTCAACATTCTACCAGAGTCAAAAAATTTCATCACATCAACACATTAATCTTCTTTCAAGATAGGCCAATAATGTTGGTAAAAAAGGGGAGTCATGCCATCATTACCTGGAGCCTTGTTTGGATTCATAGAGAATAAAGCTGTTTTGACTTCCTCTTCTTCAACAGTGGCAATCAAATTTGAGTTCATTTATGCTGTGATAGAATGACTTTATAAAACAGGCTTTTATAAAACTTTATAATGGCTATTTCAATTTCCTCAGGAGACTCTGCCACCCTATCATGGTTATCCACTAGCCTGGTTATAACATTCTTCTTCCTTCTGTATAGAGTCATAGCATGGAAAAACTTTGTGTTTCTGTCACCTTCTTTGAGCCACTGCAGCCTAGCCTTTTGGCTCCAAAATTCCTCTTCCTTCAACTGAGATAGCTCAAGCTCCCCTTTAACAGCCTGCCATTCATCCCAGTTCACTTGGCCTCCCAGAGCTCACATTTGTTCTAGTTGAGAGTAAAATCCTCAATTCTTTGTGCATTCCCAGATTTTGCCAGCTTATTCCACTTAATGTTAGCCATCCTTGTTCTTTTAATCTTTTCCTTCACTACGATCATAGGGCAGCCCCTTACATCCTCATTCCATGCCTTGCCCACTTCATCAGAGCATCCATCCATCTTAAGCCAGCGCTTATCAAAGACAAATCTCTTAAGAAACTTCCTCTGTTGGTTCCCAGAATCAAGTAACAACAAAAAAT